CCCCCCACCCTGGGATCTTCCAACAATTTGATCTATTTTCTGAAATGCTTTTAGAAATGGATAAACTGTCCCCCACCAGAAAGAACAGTAAACATGCTGCTGAAACAGAAGATTCCATTAATCAAGAGACTGTTTCTCATGGTTTAATTACAGGCACCATAATAGATTCTTTATTACACAGGTTTCCTAAAGGGATTCCACAAAATATTTTGTTTCCCTAAAGCAGAAGAATTCCTGTCTCTAACTTTTAGGAAAAAAAAAAAAAAATTGGTAGTTATAGAAAATATTTAAACTAGGTTTTGAGAAGAGTCACAAACAGTATGTCTCAAACCGATTGAGATTTTTGGCTCTGGCATGACGACGTTACTTGAACGCCATACTTGAGGATGTGTAGACGTACTGCAATTTACTCAACTTCACACTGTACTCACGCAAACAGCACCCCCGTTGGTGGCACCTGTAAGAGTGAAATGTTTTATGCATTGACTCCTACAGCAAAGGCTTCAAGCACAGTAAAAAACCCCAGAGCCCAGTAAGGTTTTGAGCGCAGACACTGCATAAGGTGATTTTTTCTGTATTTGCCATTGACAGAAAGACCTACATCAAATCTGGAAAACAAAAAGGCTGAAAGGGTGAGAATGACCTTCCTTTTTGACCTCTTCAAAGACCAAGTAAAGGTTTGTGTTTTGACTCTCGGATAAATGATTATGCCATTTGTGTGTATATTCACACATGAGCAGCTTAAAGAAAACAAAACACATCCAAAGCTGCTAACTTTCTGCTGTTCATCATCAGCTGCAAGAATAACTACGGCCAGAATTCTTGAACAAGGGCAAAAATCTTTGTGAACTTCAGTTCACAGCCCTTTTTCATAATTCAAATTTCTTGCATTATGTACATCTAGGCAACTGAGCAAGACACGCTAGAGAACAGTGCAGCAACACTTGTTACTAAACTGTCTATTTTTGTTTGCGTAAATAATTCCTTGTTTTCAATTACATGCTTTCACACTTAGCTAAAATATTTATTTACGTGCTACATGACGAATGAAATTCTCCAGGTCAGCTAGGGAATCGTGAAGAGAGTAATTCGCGTCTTGACTTCTGAGAAACTTTCGAAGGGTATCTAAAGCACTCAAAGCCTCATTTTTTGATGGCAAAGGCTGTTCAGCTCTCTGTGATTGATCACCTTCATCCTCATCTTCATCGCCAACAGATGTCCCAGCTTTATCTGATGCGTTTTCTTTGGCACACATACTTTCATTATTTGTGGGCATTTCGCATGCTCCCAAGCCATCATCTAGAGCTGCATATTCCTCCAAAGATAAACCTCCTGGAAACTCCACTCCAGCTGCCTGTGCATGTGCAATCAAATCAAAATCACTTTCAACCTCTGCGTCGTCACCATCTGCCTTGGTTTCTAATTTGGACCCTGCTTCGTTAGAACTTTTCACTATAGTCTCTGGTGTTACTTTCCTCCAGCACAGGTGCAACATCTCAATTGCATCAAGAAGAGTCAGCATAAACTCTTTATTACCTTCTATGCAGTCCACAAACCTCTGGATAAGGCAGCACCTGTATTTAACCTTCAGACTTCTGATAGCCCCGTGTTTTGTAGGTATGCATGATGAGTCTGGAGGAGAGAACACTAACTTGACAGACTTCAGGTTCTTTACTTCAGTGTGAGCTGGGAGAGAATCAATGAGAATAACTACTTGTCGCTGCTGCGCTTGAAATCTGTCATCAAGTTTATGCATCCACTGTTCAAACACTGACGAAGTCATCCACGCTGCATCGCTTGCTTCGTAATCCACAGGTAGTGACTTCACATCTTTGAAACAGTGTGGATTCTTGGTTTTTCCTATAACAAGCAAAGGGAGTTTCTCAGAGCCATCCATATTTGCACCCACCGCTACAGTTATTCTCTCTTCGCTTCGTTTACCTACAGAACATGTTTCCCCTTTAAATGCAAATGTATTATGTGGCAACATCTGATACAACAATCCAGTCTCCTGTATATAAAACATGTTTTTTGGCTGATAATCATTTAAATAAGGAAGAACATTTTGGTACCAAGGAGTTGGAGCATCCACTGTAGTAGTAGCAGCTGCTTCTATAGGCTGAGCTCTGAAAACTAAACCATACCTTGACTTGAAACGATCGAGCCAGCCATTACTGCATTTAAAATCGCTATGTCCAAGCTTCTGCGCAAAATCATTAGCCTTGAGGCGCAACATCGGACCGTTTACTGGCACATTCAAGCACTGAGCAATTCTGTACCACTTTACCAATGCCTCCTCCAGGTCGGTATAAAACGCGGTCCTTAGTCTTTTCCTTCGGGGATCAAAGCGCAAAGATTCAAAGGCTTCCAAAACTTTATCTTTATTCTTCATAATTGAAGACAAGGAATTCTTCTTTATGCCATATTTAGCTGCAACATCTGCCTTTTTCTTGCCACTCTCCACAGCACTTATGATATCAATTTTTTCCTCAATAGATATGCTTTTCTTCCTCCTCACTACGGGCTGGGGCAGGAGACTCTCCGAAGCCTCTGCCATGGTACCAAGCGCCTTCTTCCAGGCGTGCACATCCACACCCGGGCAGGCGCGCTCCTGCTCTGCCGCGTTCGGCTGCGGGTGCCTTCGATGGGGCCGGTTTTCAAGACCGCCCTCTGATCTCATGGGCACGGCACTTGGCAGAGGCTGTAGCAGCCTCCCCATCGCCGCTGGCACCCACACACCGCTAAGTCTAATTCTGTGAACGCCCTTGGCGGTGGAGCAGGCTGCCCAGGCTCGGCCTGCTGCCAGCGCCCAGCAGCAGGCCCAGATGCGCACCTCAGGCCT